CATCGGTCCTACCGTCAGCCAGCTTTGCGGCCCATTCGGCTTTTTTCCGGGCCACTATGGCTGTTTTTTCCGCAGCTGAGGCGGTAGGACAGTCCTCCACACGATGACCTTGACTGCAATGCCAGCAGACTGGTTTTTTCTTTGTAGGCCCCACCTTATGTTGAGCAGCAGGGGCTTTGTCAGACTTCAGAACTTTCGACTTTGGGGGATACTTTGGCGTGAATTTCGCGGACGCTGTGGCATCCGCCTTGACGACAGGCTTCAACTGGTCCCTTCCTGCGTTGTCCGCGGCAACCGTATTCCTCATAAATTTCAGCGCGTTGCGGAGCTCCACGCGGACAAAGTTGAAAAAGGCCAGCACGTCGTTCCGGAGGTACCTCATGTCATGCGCCAGTGCCTGCTGGACTAACTCGCGCAGACCGCTAGGTCGTATTCCCTCCACGAGCGCTTTGACGGCGTCCTTGGGGTGCTGCGTGTCGAAGTCGGTCATGTTCATTTTCTCTAGGCACTCCCAGTAGTCGTGCATCCATTTATCATGTCGACGGTCGGCGTCCATGTCCTTGTCGTTCATGACGACCGTCTTCCTGATTTTTGCTTCTAGCTCGGCATATCGGTCGTCCTGATGGTCCATCGCGTGTTGAAAGTACGACAGCCACTCATGGTCAGTGATTTGGTCCAATGGTTTCTGCATGTGGTATTTCGCGATCCACAGCTTTGATTTCGCTTCAATGCAAGTTCCAATAGGTCGGCATTGAATGGTCGTGTTGGTACTCGCACTCACGACGGCAACAGCGCGAGCATACTCTGCGAATTGGTACGCGAACACTTTCCGGGCCGCCATCGAGTAACCCGTGAAAGTAGGTGCCTCTGGGGCAGCGAAACCACTGAGCAGCGTGTTGTGGTTCTGATGCGCCATCAAACTGGCTTGCGGGTTGAACGCCTGGGACCCTTTCAGAAAGGTTCCTCTAGCAGCGCCATTCTCACTCGGAGTTTGTTCACCAGGTGATCGTGCCACAGGCGGTTCGTCCGGCGGCGCACCTCCATTGTTGTGTCCTCCTTGCGGACGGCTGGTAACAGGAGCAGAATTCGGTTTACTTTGTCTCACCCATTGTTGTCCTTCCAGAGCCAAGTTTTGCTCCATTTCTCGCAGGCGTTGCTGAAATTCTTGTTCCATCGTTTGCCGCAAAGCCGCTTGCTCTTGCTGCAGTTTGCTCAAGCTGCTCGATTTGCTGCCTTCCCAGCGTGCGAGCATGTTCGATCCGTTGCTGTTCTAGTTGACGTTCATTTTGAGCCGTTTGGAAAGCTGTCTGGTACGTTAACCTTAGCGCAGCTTCCTCCTGACTCCGTCGTTGCAACTCCAATTGGTATTGATTGGTGTGATGCTGTAGCCCCATGTTTGATTGCTGCAGCGCAAAAAGCTGTTGCTGTTGGTTGGAATAAGTTTCATGGGGCGTTGGGTAATGCACTTGCACGTTGTGGCTCACCGTTTGATTCGCACCATGGTAGAGCCCTTGCAATGATACCCCCGCACCGGCGGTCCGTCCAGAAAAGACAGGAAGGAAGTACGGGTTGGTTCGGCGGGGCGGTTGTTCGACAATTGACATCGTACCATGGTAGCTGCCCAGCGTCAACGGCAATGGAGCGTTGCGTGGAATCTGTTGCAGCGGTGCAGGGAGAGCAGGAACATACTGTCTTGTGTGTCCAATTGCCCGATCGCCCCCGTAAGCAAGATTGTTGAAGTTTCCGTGAGGAACACCACCGTGCTGCCGCACGTTCAACGCTCCTGGTACGATCATGGGACCACCGGACAATGGGACCGCGTCAATGTTCATCGGTGTCGACA